TCTTTTCGTGTTCACTAAAAATAAAATATAAAAATTGACTTTATTTTCACACATCACTTTTTTAAATTGATAAATTATTTTAAATGTTTAAAATTTATTTCAGAGAGAGGAAGGGAGGGGAGATAGAAACATCAGTGATGAGAGAGAATCACTGATCGACTGCCTCCCGATTGCCCTCTACTGGGGATGGAGCCTGCACCTCAGGCCTGGGCCGTGACCAGGAATCCAACCGGGACCGCCCAGCTAATGGGTGGACCGATGTTCAACCACGAGCCACAGCGGCCGGGCACGTTATCACCTTTAATGGTCTCGTTTGAAAACAAGGGTTTCCAGGCTAACACCTGTCCTGCGATTGTTTTCCCGGTGAGGGGAGGGTGCTGGCTTCCTAGGAAAATGCAGGGGGGACAGACTACACCTGCCACTGAGCAGCTTATGGAAGAATTGAATTTGATAACCAATGTGTCACCTTGTAGCACCAGCATATTTTAAAGCTCAATAAACACATCTACTACGTCCAACCTGCACAGAACATAAAACAGTTCCTACTTTGAGTGACATGAAAGAGAGGTCAGGACATGTTCTTTGTAAAAAATCAGAAAGCCATCAGAAAGCATGGCCGCGGGTGAAGTATGCTGGTCGGCAGTGCTGGGCTGCCCACTGTTGGGAAAGGGCTTCCTTCAAGAAGATACGTTCAAAGTCCCGGCTGACGGACCGATTGCCGTTTGGAAAGCAGACCCTGTGAGATACACACAGAAGCCGCCTCTCCCAGGCACTGCTGGGCCCCTCCCAGCTCAGCTCCGCCCACCAGCTGTCAGTTTCCAGCTGCCCACACCCCAGGGCGGACCGGACTGTCCTGGGGTCCCCCCCACAAGGCCCGGACTCCCGGCTGCTGGTGTGTCTCGCTCCTCCCCCGAGGGTCTGAGGCCAGAGTCAGAGAAGCAGAGCTCCCAGAGCTGGGACGGAAACCCGCCTCGAGAAGACGCTGCACACGGGTGGGTCACAAACCTGGTATCCAGCACATTACCAACACTCCTGCCCCTACTGGTGCCACAGTACTCCTCTCCTAAGTACACTTCCATATTTCTTGCTGAACTTAAAATGCCAACAGAAACGATTCCTTCACCTCCACTGGGGTCACAGCGCAGGGAGAGGAAGCAGGGTTCATCCGGGCTCTTCTGGCTCCTGTTCAGAATCACCAGGTCGCGGCTGCAGAGCAAGTGACAAACATCAGTGTCCGCCCCTGCACAGGCCGCCAGCCCCCCGACAGGCCCCGGGGCTGGCATTTCATCCACTTCCGTTTGCCTTTGGGGTCCACACACCTTCCAACAGCCCACAGCTGCTCAGCACAGACTCACAGAGAAATGGCCGCTGCAGCCCGGCCTGTGCCCTGGGCGGGTAGAGCATCAGCGCGGGACCGGAGGGTCGCGGGTCAAGGGCATGGACCTTGGTTGCAGGTTCCCCAGGCCCAGGTCGGTGGGAACAGGAGGCAGCCAATCCGCGTGTTTCTCTGTGTCGCTCCCCCCCGCCATTCTCTCTCTAACAAAACAAAACACAAAACACTGGGGAAATGTCCCCTGAGGAACGGGCGTTGGGGCGTCGGGTCCCTGCTTCCCCTGATCACGGGCATCTTGCTCGGCCCCCGGAATGGCTTCCTATTTAATGGGACGCTCAGGGCACCCGTCTGTGCACAGGGGCGGGAGCAGAACGGACAGAGGACAGAGTCTGTTTCCACATGGGGAGGGCGACCCCCGGGGGGACAGTTCCCGCCTCCTGGGCCCCAGGAGGGGCTGCTCGTTGGGGGACAGAGGCGGGTGCGGTTGGACGGGGCCTGCGGGGCTGACCCACGGACACAGGACGGGGGCGTCTCCGCCCTGA